GTTACAAGTTTTTTCTTAAATAGTAAATATCCAAACTTCACCATATCAGTGTCTTTTGTTTGAATTTTCCTAAATTCAAGGAAAGTGATTAGCTATTTTGAAAGAGTTTACAATACAACCCAAGAATCTTCGGGAAGTTTAAAATACTTAAAAATTAAGGGTCTTACTGTGAAAGCTGTGACCATATATTGTTTTTGTATAATAACTGTACCTTTCAGAATCAAGGAATTTGGCAAACAATATTTATTTGCATTATACAAAGTATCAAATGTAGGTCCATCTTCTAATCAAAATCCTTAGGATTGCTTCATTCACTGATTGCTTCAGTGAATGTTGAAGATATGAAAAACATGCAGAATTCACTTGGAATTTAAACCGCATTCCTAGGTGTGCTCCTTCTGAACAGAGATAGGAGGCGAGGATGTGGCCTGGAAGAGCTGCCCTGCCCCCCACTCATTCAGCCAAAAATCAAGTAACTCTAATACAAAGTATGATGCAGAAGTGAAAGGTGTTCCTGTGTAGGTAAATGTGTTTTGTCCCCTTTCTGCACTCCCAAAGAAAATATTTGTTAAATAGAAAACATTTGTAAGTTTTGGCATGATTTATTGCTCCTAGTGCAAAGGCAATTTATCAGCATACGTCCACTGCCTTCAGAGCAGAGTCCWGCAACGGTCGAAGAGCAGCAGCTCATATACTTGCGGGTTCAGAAACTGAAATTTCCACAAAATTATATATATAATTGGTTTCAAAACAACACCGATAACAGTAATCACTACCACCTGGACAACAAGACATTGTTTTAAAATAAAAAGTGACTATCTTAAGAAACCAGTGTTTACAGGTACCTAAGTGTAGATGGGTGTGTAAATCATATCCCCTTTGTTTTAATCTTAAGCTCAGGGCATATTAACTAGTTCTGTGTTTTCAGACCTGCAATGCAATTCAACATATTGACACCTATACAATAATTGCAAAAAATACACCTCAAATAAGTTGATATTTTAATGTGTGCTGTTTTATCAACCACTAAGAGTAATTTAATGCATACCAGATTACTTTAAAAGGAACATGGTCTGCCTTATTAAACTCAAACATCATTTTCCATTGAAGATAAGTTTTATTTATATCATCTGCAAGGAAATAAATATAAAACCCCACCAAAATTAAATAAGAGAAAATATCATGGATATCATTTAAAAATTTACACAGAATATATCATGCTTTTTATATCTATAATTTTTACGGAATGGATAATTTGAAGAAAACAAAAGTATTAAAAGGAAGCTTTCATTGCATTGTCTTTGGAGAATTATATGTATGTGCTGTATTCACAAGCAAGTATTTTAACCTACTTTTCTGAGATGATTAAATCTACATTAATTATTATAATGGAATGCAAAATATCACATATTGCATCTTTAGAGTGTGGAGACACTCTGCCTCCAGCAGATGCACACTCTGTGATTTTAAGTGCAGAATGTTGGGGGATTTTTAATTATCCTCAAGAAATAAGATGCAAACTGAAAAGGGACACTGAAGCAAAGGGAACTGTGCTTATAAAAAATAAGGTTGGCTTTAATTTGTTAACAAATAGGGTTGTTAAATGTTTCATATTAGTGGACTTTTTGTATCCATGACGTTGTCACATGAAGTTTGATAACCAAATGTTTTCATTTGTTTAAGACAGCTCATTGAGTAACTGTTGCAAATCCAGTAGTGTGGATACAGACTTGGATGTTTTGTTGCCAACCCTCAGGGATGCTGAAAAAGCTAATTTTGTGCCATGTAGGTAAACATGCTGTAAAATTTCTAGAGGCGTCAAATGCTCAATATCTGTCCAGATCAGCAGCTGTAAATCTGATGGGTGTGGAACAGATCACATTTACTGTGTGCACACCCAATTCAAAGTTCGTATGTGCACAGCAAATCCTACATGCTGAGACCAAATAAATATCCTGCCAATGAGATAGCCATCTGTGGAGGGCAGCTTCTTCCTTCCCTCCTGGAAAATACTCAACAAAAACACAGCAGTCTTATTACCAGTAAGCAATCCAAAACTGGTGTAGGTAGGAAGCATGGAATCTATCAGCCTGAAGACTGTTTAACAAAAACACTCGATAAGCATATGGAACTCTTGGGGAAAGAAGCACTTAATAGCCGGAGCCTGACTATTCTGGAGGATACTTTCATGTACAAATCTACAAGTGGTCCCTGAAAGTGAGAAAAAATTTAAAAATTCATTAAGTATGTAATTTAGGATTCTATTTTGAAAATAAGTGTATTTATTTATGTATATTTGAGCTAACTTAAACCAACAATAAAATAAATTGAATGTAAATATTAACAAAAGAATGATAAAAAATTAAGTCTTTCCATAATCTAACATCATCAGTCTTCCATGTTTCACTGAGCCTTCTTTAAGCAATGTGTAACTGCTTTTTGTTGTGCTTTGACTGAAAACATAATATGTATTAGAGTAGTTTTAGGTTTTTAAAGTRTTACGTAGGAGAAGTATTTCTAGTTTCATGCCAGCATTTGACTTTTAGATTCAAGTGACATATCAGCAACTGTGCATCTGGTACTTTCCATCTGCCATTTGCAGTTTGTCCTCATACTTCATTATATCACAGCAGAAAAAAAATGTGAGAGAGCAAGAGAAAAAAAAAGGAAAAAAATGAAAATAAATAACCTATGTTGTAGTAAGTGACTACTTTCAACTAACAAAAGAAAAAATAATTTAGGGAGAGAAATCACTATAACAAAATAAGGATCCCTCTCCTAAAAAGTGGCTGCAGAACACAATACACTGGTGCTCTGTTGTGTTCAGCTGTGTGATTCATTCAGGACTGCTTTATTATTCTGCACTCTGTGTATAAATTTTAACAGAACTGCACTGTGAATCCCAGACTAGAGCAATTCATACATTGTAGGTCCAGTTACAAAGCAGCTTAATGAATGGACCAACAATTATTTTACCAAGATCTTTACATTCAAACCACTTTTAGACCCATGGCAAGTTTTATTCTTTGTGGAGAATGATAAAAAAATAGCTATCCTAGTCCATCTGACAAAGATACCCAACATCACACAAAATGTGCTTCTAGAATTATCAGTTCATGAGATATCAAATAAGTCACATGCATCATTTCAGTCCTCCCAAATAAGTATAACTTGAGTAGTCACAGTTGCAGGGAGTATTAGTTTCACGTTCAGATGGTGCTATGGCCTATTATTTTGAATTCAGGATGTTTTACAGCTAATAGAATTTAAGTTTAGAAATACAGACCATTTATTTTTAAGGTACCAGATCCCTTTCACTCTCAGCATAGAATACATATTTTCATCCCATTACTCAACTGACAAGATAAATCAAGGCAATAATGAAAGTAATGTAGAGGCAAAAAGACAGTATTTATTGAAAGTAGTTTAATAATATGTCCACAGGTAACTCAATGTATGCAGATGTTATCTATTTTCTGTATTTTCTGAAGAAGAAATTCTACTTGTAAATTTAGATTTGGCTGCCCTTTCTTTGTCTTCTTACTCAGTATTTTATAAGCTTCCATCTTCCTTTGCTTGTACAAACGTTGAGCTTCTTCTCTTYGTTGTTTTCTTTTTTCTGCTTCCTGAAATTAAATAAATATATACGATTATAATTACAGAACAATTACAAACCTTCTGTGACTATGAAGCTATCTGTAAGAAATGAAGTTTATTTTTGCCTAGCTACTAGCCTTTAGGTATTGTACTGACACTAGGAACAGCATTGCTCTGAATCAGGATGCTTTTTCAGCACATACTGAAATCAAAACACAGCCTCAAGCTTGAAGAGAAGAGCCAAGTTTTCTTCAGAAGAACATCCTACAATAAGGTTTGTTGCTGCAACGCACACTACTTCCTTTGTGAAATGTGCTCCTTGACTATTCTCCTGAAATGATGAATTGACAAAAAATTCCCCACTTTCTCCTCTTGAGTGCAAAAAAGAAAAAGGTGATGCAGCAGCTCCCATGTAAATATCTTGCCAATCCAGCTGTGCTAGGATATCAGACACCTCCGCATGGGATAGGCAGAAGGACATGGGATGTATCTGGGCCATGAGTTGGGCAGGTCTGTGATACTAGGACACGATTATCTAGGTTAAATTAATCCAGACCAAACTAGGAGTGACCCACCCTCYTTGAAGCAACCCAGACTGCTGTCTTTTAAGAGAGAGGGGGAAAAAAACCACAAATCCTAATAAAATTTTCACCTATAAAACCTTCCTTCATGGAGTGCATGCATAACACCAAACCACTAATGTTAACTATATATGGATGGAATGCTAACACTATATAGATATTCACCACAATATTATGTTCAGATTTTAGCTAACACCCCCTTCTTTAGTGTTGTAATTTTATTCAGTAATTTGGGTAAACATCCATAACAAATAAAATAACCAGCTTCACTTTTATTATGTTCTACCAAATTATGCAAGACATCGCAAATCAGACTGAAAGACTGTTTCAGTTCATTTGGATAATTCCTTCTCATAAGGTTTACTCTTTGAAATACAGTGCCATGCTGACCACATAGGCAAGCATTTCTACAGAATGTCTGAAAAGATGATAATTTAACAATCCTATTTTTGTTTTCCACTGCTTGTGCGATGTACAAAAATTAGTAAGGATTGCTCTCTGACATATAAAATTAACCAGATATAACTCATTAAAAGATTTCTAAACAGAAATCTAAGAGGCCTCAGGAAAAAGAACCCAATGAAATAAACAGCACTTGCAAAAATATGCAGATAACCTCTCTCCATTCAGACTTGACTTATTTTACCATAATGACTAATATTTCATTCCCCTTTTTAAAAAAGAGTAGCATCAGCTCCAACTTACCTTCAATTCACTTCCTATCTAATAATTTTTTTGTTCAGCATACTCTTGTAAACAACATCCAGTTACCAACCAAATGTTTACTTCAAAGCAAGAACAATCACCTTACTTAAACAGTTGCTACTTACATTCCTATTTCTTCTGATCTTTACTAAATCCTAGCTTTTTATGACCTAAAAAGGCCTTTGTGGAGGCCAAAATGGTGTGGTTAGGCTTATTTCTCTCCCCAAGATAAATAACCGCAAATCCAGTGTTTCCTAACACATGAGGGCAAAGTACATGCTTAATTTTTTCATCATGCAATATTCCACTTAAATGGTTACTGTTACTGGGGCACTTAGCTAAGTTTTGCCTAATTATCTTGCATAAAGCTAAAAATACCAACACCTCCACTCAAGCAAGTTCTATGTGCTGCTCAAAGAAGCTGCTCAAGACTCCCTGCAGTCATGCTGGGGTTTTGCTTGTTCCCATTTTCTCTAAATAAGCTGGCCATAAGATTAATTTATTTTGACATGATCTGTAGCTAATAATCTGCAAAAAACTGCAGTCATCGGTTGAATAACCATGCAACTCACCTACAAACACAGATCACCTTGCACAAAACTAAATGCAGCTAAACTGACGAAATCGTGTGGTTTATACAGCTATGTATTTATGTAATATTTATATAGCAGCTACTGAAATTTAATGTCATCAGGAAGTTACACAACTTCTATAATGTTACACTGTCTGCCATTTGACAGTGCAAGAAACAATGTCCTGGGAGAGAAAAAACTAGTTAAATAAGGACCTCTCAAATTCACTTGAGCTATTCAACAACAGTAATATTAAGATATGTCCTGTAAAAGTAATTCAACTTGAATTCAAATGAAGGGAATTTAGACTAAAGATTTTAGCTAATGGCTACTATTACATTTAATTGTCTCACTGTTGGTCAAAGTACATAAAAAGATAAAATGAAGACTGTATTACGATAATACTGTAAGAAATAGGATGGGTATTTCATTTTTCATCACAAGATGATGGTATTATTTCCCCTTCCACAATATTTAAGAGGTCTACTATAATCCACTGGGGTGTGCAGATCAAGCTCTAAGCTTTTCTTGATGTACCAACAGACATAATAAAATCCTGGTAACGGCAACTGCAAGTCAAAAATGCAAGAACAAAGAGAATGATCCTTTGAATGACAGCATGCCTGAATACTACTGTCAAGTTGAAAAAGACTGAAAGAGAACCAGTACTTCCTATGGTCCTCTCTGAGTTCAGATGGAAGAGAGAGAAGTAGAAATTATCAACTACTATTAATCTAGTTTTTGTCTAAAGTCAAGAAAGAGCGTTGTTTAAGATTTACCTCTTTCCTTCTAGCATGCTCAGCCTTTATTTTCTCATACACTTCTTTTGCTTTCTGATTGGACGTTTTATTTTTAAACTTCCCTTGAGTCACAACTGACCTGGAAGAAAAAGCACAYGTTCTTCAGACATTGATGTCACCAAGCAGAGATAACCATAGATACCAAAGCCACTGCAGAAGCACAGTATAGTCTTCCACTAGTTTGTGCATATTCAGGGAAGTTAATTACAAATACAGATTACAGAATTTYAGAATTTCATTTCAGATTTTATCCTTCTACACTGAATGGATTGTTTGCACCTCTCTGGCATTATACCCAACACCTTTCCATGCCATGCATGAGCATGAAAACGCTACAAACTAAACTCCTTCAGTGCCAGATGTACCAAAGACTGGACTGCACACCAATCTTAGTAATACATATATCTTAYCTGCTATATCTTCACATGGATGATGTTTCATGAAGCTTAAAGAGTCCCTAACAGTCTTCCCCATCATACAAGCTCTTCAGAGCTAGAAAACCTGAATATACTAGCTTAGAGCTGCATTATCTCTTTCTAGTTCCAACACATGGAAGAAACTGCAGAGAGATGAGGACAGCTAGCTGTTAGCAAACTGCCTGCCATGGTGACAGAGCAAGGTAACAAAGCACAGTAGTGACAATGCCTTTCTAGAAATTTCTTCTTGAATAAGATAGTATATTAATGTTCTGAAATTATGCACAAAATAGGTACACTATTGTCTTTAATGGTGTGAAATAAGGAACTGAAATTAATTTCCTCCCACATTGCAATATAAGACACTGCCCATGTAACTTTTACCAAAGAAAACGAAGAAGAAAACTAATACCATTTGTTTAGCATTTACCATCACACTACTTTGAGTGGATTTTTATGGTTACTTAGTTGTAAATTATTTTTCTGACCTATAATAAAGCTTCTTCATAAACAATGTGGAAGCAAAGACATTTCACACTTAATATAAGCTTTGTAAGCCGTAATACAATCAAAAACAAAGAGAAGGCATTGGCTCATCATTTCATTTAGAAATACCACTCAGAAAAAACCAAAAAGTTTTTGCTTTATTCTCCATCTGGTGGCAGTACTGTGCAATGGCGCCTCATTGTGTCAAGGACCAAACTAGTTATAGTGCCATTTATATGTCCAATAACCAGGAAAAAGAATTTAAGAAATAATGAAATTTTTAGAAAAGCAAACCACCACACTGAATTCAATGTGAACTGTTAGGATCTAAAATATTTTTTAGTGATGGAAAAAATACTTTTTTTAAAAGACATACTTTGAAAACTTACTGTGCTGCTTTATTAAGCTTTTCTTCTGATGACGCTGAATCATCTGGAGTCCTGCACTGCTTCTTAAGCTTCTCTTCCTCTGCGAGGTAAAGATGTTTCAAGTGCTCTGGATAGGTATCAGTAAACTGATTATCCTGTTGTGAATGCACGTGTTTTCTCTTTTTCAGTAATCTCCTGTACTGTCGTTCAATCTTCTGTTTTCTCCGAAATGCAAATCCTCGTCCTGGAAACATAAGAAAAAGGGAGTTAAGCACATGTGCTCTAAACTAGTACCAAACAAAATTCAATTGTTGTCAGGGCTCTTTCAATCTGTTTTCTTTCCGAACTGGAAAAAGACAATACGTGTGGCAATTTTAATAAGGACCATTTGTAAGTTCAAAGAAAAAAACACTATTATGAGTGTGTTCCCTACTGCAGTATTGCAGCTTGTACAGATTCAGTGAAATTTATTGCCTACACCCCTGAGAGAACACTGCAAACATTGCTATGAATGCCCACCCAACATTACACACCTTTGCCAATACTTTACGAATCCAGTGACAAGATGAAGAGAACATTTCACTTCATTCCTGATTTTGAAAGCTTCATAAGCAACATCAAAATATATTTGAAAATAAGCTCCTAAAGGCAGTCTCAAGCGGACACTGATAATAACACTGGCAGCAGCAGTAGAAGCCTGCAGCTGCTACATCACAGGAAAAATAGTCACTAAATCACAGTATCACTCTATATTAATAATCTTTTCACTTAAATAGTATTTTATTGTCCAGGAAGAGCTTTTCTATAGCTATGTCACAGAATCATTTACGTTTAAAGAAAAGCACAGATATTGGCTGTTTCAGTCTTGACCATTATAGAAAATTTATGAAAGTTGAAGCGAAACATGCTTTTTTCCTACTATATTATGTTTTATTGCATCAGTCATAAGACCTATTGACCTTCATAATATTCACTAAGGAAAAAATTTTTAAAGGGAAGTCATATTAGTTCCAACCTTTTCTTTTGTTCATTCTCCAAGGCTGCAACTTCAGCGAAATGCTGCTGAAGCTGATGCTCTTTTGCCTATTCATTTTTATATCTGCATAATTACCTATCACTAGTCTGAACTTTTATTCAAACATACTTCCTTTTTAAACGTACAGCTTTCTATATAGAAGACTAAAAGCGAGTCCTAAACCCGAGAACCATCACCACCAGGCCCAGGTGCTACAATCTCGAGCCCTGGAAGCTCCAGCTTACACCGGCCGCCCCAGCCAGCACTGCAGCCCCCAGACCCAAGCCCACGGCCATCAGCATCCACTCGGGCCGCAGGCGAGGCGGGGCTGCGGGCTCAGCCAGACCAAATCCCTYGCTAAGCTTGGCCGGGCTGGCCCCAGCTGGGACGCTCGGGTCGAGGCCGCTCGAAGCTGGGCCAAGGAGTAGGGCCTTCTTCGGCGCCACCTCAGACCAGCCAGCGACCCCGGCTCACCCTCCTGGATGCTGCCGACAACGCTGCGCAGCAAGACGGGCCTCCACCGCCGCTTTCGGCAGGGCTCACGTGTCGCCGAGCGCGCCCTGGCCGCCGCCGACCCAGGCCCCTCGCGCCGCGCAGCCGCCATCCCGCTGCCGGCGCCGCGCACAGAGACGACGTCATCGAGCTCCGCCACGGCGCCGACGGGCCGCGCGCGGGGCCATGTCGCGGTCG